CACACACCCCCCACCCCACACACACACACACACACATGAGTCATGTCATGTTGGGGTCCTTGGTGTGAAAGTAGCAAAGTAATTATAATTATGTTAGAGTCTGTCAGAGAAATGTGAGGAAAGTCCATTTACTTCAAAGAATCTTTATCTGCTCTTATCTGACACAGACATAAGGACAGATAAGAGGGCACTGTGCGGCCCGGGTCAAACAATGCTCTGTAAGGAAAAGATAAATAAGAAGACAAGGCCTGATGCGGTGTAGCTCCACCCTCAGCTCCAGTCCTGAGTTTCAGTCCTGGTTCCCTGGAAGGAAAGAAAGAAAGAAGAAAAAAGACAGAAAGACACGGAGCAGGGGTTGGTTCCTGCTCCGCACTCCGGCCCTGGTCTTCCTGCTCTCCGGCTCTTTGTCCCCGGAACTCGGTCTCCGTCCCGGGTGTCCACCGGGTCTTTTTCGCTCGCATCTGGATCCCAGTAGGAGTAGCAGACAGCCCAGCGTTCCCCGGTGCTGCCCCCGAACCACCGGCGACCTTTAAGTTTTGAACAGAAGACAGAAGACAGACCCCCCCGTGTCCCCGGAGCTTCGTGCTGTCCTCCTGCGGTTTGAACCGTTCCTCGAAGCCGTGCAGCAGCTGTGACCCGCTGAGATTGTTGCCTGTGGTTTGAAAGTTTTATTTAAACTTCTGCCTGTTTTCTGTCCACTCTGGAGGTCGATACATTTATCCGGTGGGTGTAGCTTTTAAACGGACAACATTTGAACAGGGTTTAGTCTTATTTTCGGTGTTTCATTTTTATTTTTCCCTTCTGGTCTGAGAGTGAATGAGAAATCAGCGCTTCTTCATGAGGAAACTCGGCGTGGGAGTCACAGAAACTTTGTCTTAGCCTACCTGAGCGGCTACTTTTGCTTTTTCTGTTTTTTTTTTTTTCGTTCTTTCTTTTTCTTTTTCTTTTTGTCTCCAACCAAAATGAAGACGTTGTTAGTGCTGTGTGTCGTGTCCACGCTGGCTGTGTTGACCGAGTCGGTGACCGCGGAGCAAAAGTTGAGAAACTGTAACGAAGTTCGAGCAGCTTTCACCTCCAAAGGCTTGAATGTCAACGATGTCCCCAACAAAGGAGTCCACGGTGAGTTTTACACCTCAGCTCTATGAGCCCCAAAACACCGGGGGGGGGACTAAAGTGGAGACCAGGACCTCTCCCGGGGCTTAAAATAGTGTTCCCTGGTGTTCCTTTAAAACTTCAACTTAAAAGCTAGCATCAAAAAGCTGGGTTAACTTGATTAGGGAAAAAACAAACATAATTTGTAAGTGTAACATTATTTTTTTGGACAAACCTTGTGGATATAAAATTATTTTACCTGTTGTAAATAGCACTTAGATAAAACTCGCCCTGATAAACATGGTTTAATTTTAGGCTAGCTGCTAGCATGTTCACATTTAGAAGAGGTAATGGCTGGTCCGAAGCAGGTTAGCTATCCTTAAAACAACGACTAAAGTTTCTCAGTGGTTTTTTGCAAACCATGTTCTATCCTCTTTTTTTTCCTTAGATGTGACCAAGGCTTTTTACTTTGACCCTCCTGCTGCCCTTGGGTCAAAATGACCAGTGAGGCCTCAGTTTTTAAAAACTAGAACCTCAGGGGTCATTTTGACCCAAGGGTAGCAGGAGGGTTTAATTAAAAGAAAAGCTATGTAAACTTGTACAAAAATAAAATAAATAAAATCAAAGCCAGTCTATGGGATTTGTTGATAATCTGTGATTTCAGTATCTGTAAACTCCAGTGCTTTTGATTGACACGTAAAACGTGATAAAACAGTTTTTGCATAAACCACTGTAAAATTGGATTAGAGTTGTTTTAGGATGGCAGCAGTCCACTTTGGTTTAAGCTGCTTTCAGACCAGCCATTAGCTTGTCACACACACCAGTCATTGGGGGTGGCCTCCAGTCAGTCTCCTTGGGAAAGAAACTGAACCCAAATTTGCTTGTTGGTGTGTGAACGAGAACTCTTGTACAGCTTTGCCGAATCTGGAGAGATTAAAACGTGTGGACCATTAGATAAGATTAGATATTAATTGCTCATACCTTTCCCACAAAACCCCACTTGAAAACATCATGGTTTTAATTAGTCACACCAGAAAGATGACACGTGTTGCTCATATTTAAGGTAATTTAAAGACCTGAGTAATAATTTAGCCATGCTACTTTTTATGTAAAGCATCATCGGAAGTAGTAGTGAAACATTCAGGGGGTGCATTCTTCTGGCACACAATGTGTGCTGCTGGCAACACTTCACCGCTCCTCTGGGTAAACAAAGTCTTCATTTAGGAAATACTTGTAGGCAATTCATAACAATAAGGAGGTATAATCATCTCCCGAGCTCCGCTCCCTGCTGAATGAGGCCAGGCTTGTGTTTATTTCCAGGCTTCCTCAACATCGACTCCTATGGCTGTGAAGTGCGAGCAGCCGGCAGTGATTCTGTAAACATTCCTGCACATTGTGATCAAGGCTTACACATTTCTTTTTCTTTGAACGTGTTAGTCCTATTACGTGGTTTAAGCTTGTTCTTTTTTTGTTGTGTGTGTTGGGGCTTAATGAGAGTGCATGACACGACGAAGGGTACAAGGAAAAGGGGCTGCTATGTTAATAATTAAAGGGGCAGGAGGCCAAATCAATGAAGCCAATCATGGGATACAGCCAAGAAATGGAAACTTGCGAGTGGGGGGGTTTGTTACAGTAAAAGCTGGAGGGCAGCAAGGGCTGGGGGTTTGAAATTCCTCTATGCCCCTACTTAACCCTCCTGTCCTATCCCAACACCACACTCCTTTCTCATAATTTTGATGGTTCTTTGAACAATTGAGGAGAATTTCCTGTGAATTCAGTTTGGTTTGTTGACTCCAGTGTTCTTGTGTAACATCTAGGTCACCCAGACACGATCTAATATATCGTTAGCTCACGTTTTTCACATGACTTAGTTTTTTCTTCATTGTTGTTTGAGGCTTTGTGACAACTTGCACAATTTTTTTTGTATCAACTTAGTCAGTTTACATCCAGAACAGAAGCTGTGTTTCCATTGCAAATGTGCGCAAAACTTTGTCGATATTCTGTTAATGTCAAAAACACATTTTCGCAACTGCTGTGTTTCCATTAAGTAAGAAATGCTATTAAAGTCACGCGTGAATACGTTTGTTCTCGCGAAAATTCATTACAAACATGGCGACAATGGATGTAAACACGTAGCATGTTGCTATGCTACACTAGCACTCATCATCAGAGGAGACGCCGGCGTCTTTTATCGAGGCTTTCCAGAGACAAGTCCCTACTTGGGAGCGGCTACGTATGCTGTGTTTTTGGGAAATTGTAGTCAGTGAGTTTACTACTTTCTTTTACTACTTCTGTGATTTTATTACTATTTCTACTTCCTGTTATCTTCTTCGTTTTTTTCCCCAGTAGAAACAGCCGGTTGTTAATCACGTGACTCCCATGATGCGAAAAAAGTGTTTCCATTACATTTTTGCGAAAAACACCAATTTCGATACGGCCGAAAAACCACCTCATCCTATCGCAACAACATTTTGTCGAAAAACGTAATTTATCGAAATTGATGTTTCCATTGAGCAAATTTATTTTTGAAATTCTAATTTGCGCATTTTCATGGTCAATGGAAACACAGCTATATTTGGTTGTAGTTACTTGCTGTTCTTTATACTAACAAGGTTTCATTTGCATAGTGAGAGGACGTAAAGACTCATTAGAATTTGAGTTGGATGTTAAATATAAAAAGACACTTAAGGTAAACCTCTACATTTCACTGGAAGCCTGGGAAACCTTTTGTTTTCTGCTTGTTTGTGTGTTTGTCATGCCTAATGTCATTTAAAACACTCAAATAAGTCTGCGCAGGTCAGATTTAATTGTCCAGCCTTTCTGGGTTGTGAAAGAGGCGTGTGAATGAAGGCTGGGGCGTTTGTTCAGGTCTGTGTGCTGCAGACACCGGTACCTTTTTCCTAACAACACATTTCCTGCTGAATGTCTGAGCACCTTGTTCTCATCGATAGACATGGAGATAAACAAGCTGGGGGGGGAAAATGGCAAAGATTTGGAAAGTCTCCTGAGACAAAGAAGACTATTAAGATGGTTTTTTTTACAACTTTAAAATCTAATTATATAAAAACAAATAGTTATCTCAGCAAACTTGAATCAAACACATTCAAAGTTACAAACAGTTTTATTAAAAGTAGTTTTTGAAATATGCACCTTTTTGTCTGTTCCAGGCATCGTAAATCAGGTTTGCGGAACATGATTCACAGAGATTGGGAATGAAAAATTGCATTTTTAACCACGAACATCTTGTGTTACTGTTGGCAGCCCAGCAGTAAGAATGTTTGTTGGCGTAAAAATTACTCACAGGTTCGTTTGAAGCCTGAGCTGAGCTCTATAAAGATGTTTTTAATGCAGGAAAACTGGAACAAGAAAGCCTGATTGTTTCAGCACAGACAGAATGAAGTGATAGGGAGGAGCGGCAGGCCTCGGTTGGTAACTATCCCAGGGTATTTGTTGAAATGCTTCTCATGGAGCTGCTCAAGATCTTCCTTCCAACTGTCTTGTCTGTTTGAGGATGATTTGTTTTGAGCCTGTGGTTGAATACTTCCCATAAATGGGACCTAAATTACACTTGAAATATAGCATCTGAAAATGTTGGTGATCATGGAAAATATAAATGGTGGTTTAGTGTCTGACTCTGTCTGCTAATAGTGTGTTTAAGAGTTGATTTTGTGATGAATGGTGAATGGTATCTGCTGCATGGCTTTAGCAGGGCTCTTCACTACCTGAAAGCAAAGCAATTAATTCTGACCAGACTGCTTTGTGCCTGGTTAAAGGCTGCTCTTTGCACAGCTGGATACCACAATTCAGGGATGAGGAGAGCGAGGGAGAAAAAAGTAAAATCTGCTTTGGTTAACTCTGGCAGTCGGGCTTGATTTCATGCTTCGGGTATGGGACAATTTCAGAGATCAAAGAGAAGAGGGCCGTTTTCTCCCCTTTCAACACGTGGAACATCCTCTGTTCATAATCAGTTCAGTGCATTATGGGTGAAACTTGAAGCGTGCATGACCTCAGAGCGTTGGCCTCTCGGTAAGCTCGAGACATTCTGCAGTCTGGCATAGTGAAAGATCTTTTCCCGCTAAGCCTGTGGCGGCGTTCTCTGCAGCGCAACAATTTGGGAAATACCAGGCTGTGTTGTTGCAGCGACATTCTGCAGATAAGATAAGAGCAGGAAACTGGGGCACGCGGTCTACGAGCGTTTCTAAAGTCCAAAGATCAGTTCAGCTCTACTAAAAACTGTTTCCCAGTATTCAGACTCTTATGATTATTAACTAATAAACTTTCTAGGTGTCTCAATTCCTTTTTGATACCAGCCTCCTAAAACACACTTTTTAAAGTAATGTTTTATAATGAAGTGCTCCACTTTAAAATGTTTGAACCAGTGGTTCCCAAATGTTCAGCAATTGATCCACGAAATAAAAGTCCCAGAGACTTGTGACCCTAAATATTTCTGGTTAAGGTAAGCTATTTCACAAATTATCTCATCAAACATTATATGCTATTTTTTTTATCTTTTTATGTCTCTGGTTATATCTTTTTATAACAGTGGAGGCTAACAATGCTACTGGTGATTATTTTGTGTCTTTTTTATACTTTTTAAAAATCCAGCTTTTGGGCAAATTAAATTTCTGTCGATTTTCTCAAGAACCAATGCATATTTTCATGGCACACTCCCATCTTTGCAACCTGCCAGTCCAAATCACTAGGGCTGGGTATCATGGCCAATTCTCTAAATCGATTCTATTTCGATTCATTAAGTTCAGAATCGATTAATCACAATTCACTTTGATTCGATTCAATTCAATGAAAATGTTTATTGATATTGATCACCATTTTTTTCTCTTCAACATAAACAAAAGGTTTTTAAGGACAAACTTTTAAATTAAACTGTTTAATCTTGAAAGAAAACTGTCACAAGTATAAAAAGTTTTAAAGTAAAAAGGAATTGCTGGTGACAGTGTTGTTGGATGCATTCATTTTTAAG